AAGTGTTACTGTTTCTTATTTCTAGAAGGTTTGAGAGGAAAGACCACAACATAATGAACTAATTCATCACAATACCTGAAAACTCTGACTTCACTTTTTTGAAAAATTAAATGGTCTTTACTTTTACTCCCGATCAACAATCAAATATATTTTCTTGAATTATGAATAACATGAATGGATTGAAATATTTAATTAAATTATATCAAATAAACCTTCATTTCGGTGCAATATTAAAATTAGCTTAAATTCTTCATAACCTCTGAATATTGGGTGACCCAACGGGTCACAAGTAGTCTAGTATACAATAATATTAAAAACATTTTAATGTTTACTAAAAGTAATATGTTCTAATGGAGGACAGTGTGAAACTTGGAATAATTATAGCAGAGAAAACAAGTTCAATAACGTTTTAAACTCATAAATTAGTATATAAATAAAATGTACTAATCTTTTATAGATGATTTAGTCAGGGTCTTCATAATAAACAGACAAAGTTGAAATTAAAACTGCCTAATTCAGAGTGACACTTGAGGAGAAAGTCTTAGAGGACTAACCTACAGAAGTAGCTCAGGGACCTGATGACGAAACGTGTGAATTCTTTCGAAGCATCGTCATTTCCACCTGAGCTACTTTTTTGAATAGTCCTCCGAGACTTTCACTTCTCGTATCACACTGAACTAGGCAGTTGCTGCCCATTTCAATGTTCGGTCAAATACATGTACGTTTTCCCAGTTTTTTGAATGTTTATTTGGTATAAATTTTCAACTGATTACTGACAACAAACTGGTTAAGTCTACGCTAACTAAGTTGCGCAGGGTGAAAACGGAGCGCGGGTTGCAATTTTGGTAGAGCTCTGGATTACGGAGCCGGTGAGATGGATTCGAATCCGTGTGATACCACAAACTATTCACCACGCTTTAAGTTGTGGGTGCGGTATATGAGTGACTAGATAATTATTTAGCGTTGAAAGTGAGTGTTAAGGTGCTGCCTTCCCTCTGGTCAGTAGTTCAAAATTAGCGACGACGGCAGATAGCCATAGTAGTTTTGCCATAAATACCAATACTTGATAAAGACTCCAGCACTGGAGTTGAAAGTTTCCACACACACACACAAAAGACAAACCTCAAATAACATGTGTGCATTTTACTTATTTTAAGAAACGATTTATAGTTATGTGTGATACTTAGAGTTGTGAACCGTAAACA